CTAAAATATATTTTTGCTTTTAAGAGTTAGTTTTTATTTTTATTATTATTTTTTTTAATTTATTTTTGAGACAGGGAGAGACAGAGCATGAACAGGGGAGGGTCAGAGAGAGGGAGACACAGAATCTGAAACAGGCTCCAGGCTCTGAGCTGTCAGCACAGAGCCCAACGCAGGGCTGGAACTCACGGACCTTGAGATCATGACCTGAGCTGAAGTCAGCCGCCCAACTGACTGAGCCACCCAGGCACCCCAAGAGTTAGTTTTTAAAGAAAACTTTGAAGCAAAAGCCTCTTTTATTAACCACATAAATAACGTTTCTTGTAGTTTGGGTCTGATGGCGATATGTGCTGTTAGCTTTTGCTTGAAGAAGTGTTTATCTCTCATTTTGAAATAAATATATTTTCACTGGGTATAGAATTCTGGGTTGACAGCTTTTTGTTTCAATCTGTAAAGTTGTTACATTAGCATTTTGGCTTGTTTCGTTCTTGATGGAAAAATCTGCTGGCCTTGTTATCTTGGCCCTCTATCTCTGTAAGGTCTCTTTTTTCCTCTCACTTGGTTTAAGATTTTTTTCTCTTGATCCCTAGTTTTCAGCATTAGGAATTTGATGGGCCTTGTGATTCTCTGTGTGTGTGTGTGTGTGTGTGTGTGTGTGTGTTTATGTGCACCCTGCTTGGAGTCTTGGAGCTGCTTTGGTTATAGGGTTTTATCAAGCTTGGAACATTTTGGGTTTTTATTGCTGAAAATTTTTTCCTGTGTCTCTTTCTCCTCTCCTGATTAGAGTCCAGCGTGCATGTATTGTACTACTTCATATTGTCTCAGAGAGAATTGAATTATTTTTTAAGTCTTTTTTTTCCTCTCACTGCTTCATCTTGGATATATTTTATTGCTGTGACTTCCGGTTGACCATTGGTTCTTCTGAAGGGTCTGATTTGCCACAAATCCAATTCAGCACAATGTTTCCTTTCATATACTGTATTTTTCATCTCTGTAAGGTTCACTTAGGCCTTTTCCTTTTTTTTTAAGCACTTTTCCTCATGTTCGTGTTTTCCTTTACATTCTTGAGTATCTGGAATATATTTACAATACGTTATCTACTAGTTACAACGTGCATGTCATTTTGAGGTCTCTTTTGTTTTTTTCATCTGGTTATGGGGGACAATTTTATATTACTTTGAATGACTGGTAATTTTTTCTTAGATGCCAGAAATTGTGAAGTTTACATTGTTGATTTCTGGATCTTGGTGTGTGAGGTTATTTGGGTTGAGTTTGATCCTTTTGAGTTTTGCTAGGGCAAACTGAGAAGAGCCTGTAGCCGTGGGCTGTATGGTAAGATGCCTAGCATATGACAATCTCTCCCCTCCGACCAGGAGGAATGCCCACTATTCTTATTCCTGACTGAGCTCTGGGAATGCTGTATCTTCGAACTTTCCACTGGTACTTTACCTAGCCTCACAGGGCCTCTTTAGTCTCCTCTCTGCTGCCTCAACTCAGCAAGATTGAGAGGCTCTGCTGGGTGTCCCCTTCTCTGAGCCTTAGTCTGGAAAATGCTAGAGTTATTGTAGGGCTGGACTCATTCATCTCTGCTCTGTCAGTGGTGATGGTCCTGTGCTGCCCATTCTCCAATGTATAAACACAGTTGTTTCGTGTATATCGTTCCATTTGTGTTTGTAGAGGAGGGCAGGTAGTCTTTTACGAGTAGACCAAGCAGAAGTCCCCAAGGCCTTGGACTTTCAAATAACTGTTTCAATTTTATCGCCCTTAATTCACAACCATTAAAAATTTGAAAAACCAGGGGCGCCTGGGTGGCACAGTCGGTTGAGCGTCCGACTTCAGCCAGGTCGCGATCTCGCGGTCCGTGAGTTCGAGCCCCGCGTCGGGCTCTGGGCTGATGGCTCGGAGCCTGGAGCCTGTTTCCGATTCTGTGTCTCCCTCTCTCTCTGCCCCTCCCCCGTTCATGCTCTGTCTCTCTCTGTCCCAAAAATAAATTAAAAAAACGTTGAAAAAAAAAATTAAAAAAAAAAATTTGAAAAACCAGTGGGTTAAAAAAAAAAAAATCTAAAAAAAGAAAAAGTTAACAGTACTCCAAACCATCCATTCTTAAGAAGTGTTCAAATAACCAAACTTTAAAAACTAGAGGCCCTCACACATATTTAAGCAATACACTAGTTTTCCTTAAATGTGTCTTTTATATTAAGTTGGATTTACAGTTCTCGGGTATCCTTTATTCATTGAATCTGAGTGAGCTATCAAATATTTAATTTTTTAGAATTTTTCATTTAGCTTTTAAGGTAAGCAGAGTTTATTGTGGAACCATTTTTTTTAAATGCTTTTGAAGAGTTTTCCTGTGTTAAGTTTTGCAAAAGTCAAATCAGAAAAACTTTCTTAGTTAATATTTTGACAGATCCAACTTGTGCCATAATTGATCTTTCTATTGCAAAAAGAAAACAAAACAGTGTCTGTATAATAGTTGAAAAAAAAACTCAAAGTAATTTTTGCTTGGTTGTCATTTTGATAATTATCTTGTCGGTTACCATCGTATACAATTTCTCCCACCATTTCAGCTTGAATTGTCTATTTCTTGACTAGTTTATAATAACTCTGCTTAGAAAATGAAATACGAAGGGTACCTGGGTGGCTCTGTCAGTTAAGTATCTAACTTGATTTTGGCTCAGATCATGATCTCACAGTTGATGAGTTCGAGCCCCACAATGGGGGGTCTGTGCTGAGAGTGTAGAGCCTGCCTAGGATTCTCTCTCACCCTCTGTCTGTCCCTTCCCTGCTCACATGCTCACTCTCCCAAACTAAATAAATACTAAAAAAAAAAAAAAAAAAAAAAAAAAAAAAAAAAAAAAAAAAAAAAAAAAAGAAAAGAAAAGAAAAAGGAATATGAGGTCTGTCTAGTAAGTGGCTATTTGAATTAGTCTTGTCAAAAACTTGATAGGATTGCTGTTTTTTTTCCAACCTAAATACATTTGAGAGTAACAACTCATCCAGCACAATGTGTGCCCTGTCGTGTAAGAATATGGTCAGCTAGGATGTGATCCATTTCCTAAAACTTCATAAGCCACTGTAAAATTGATTAATTGGGGAGAAAAAAAGCAGGGTTTCCCTCAATAGGATGAAATCTTTTCAAGCTAAATTCTCTGAGAATCCCCCTGTGTGATTACTACATCTACAGTGTATACGCCTTTTCTGTTGATTTATTTTCACTTTATTTACCTGATTGTTTTAAAACAACGTATAACTTCTTCAGTACTTGGAAAACTTACCTGAAGGAGTCTCGGTAATATTGGTGGAACAGCATGCAGTCATCTAAATTTACTTCTGCTCTTTAGCACAAAAGGAGTTAATAGCAAAATGGAGCTCATCTACTTACTATGAGGAGGTTTGTCCTGCCTGACAAGGTGCTAACTAGTTAACAGCCCACCAATTCAGGAAGCAGTAGTGAAGGGATATATATAGTAAATAAAATTACATCTAGTTAGACTCACGTATATTAGTATTTCATAGTAAGTTAATATTTTAAGCTTATGTGTACCTAATGATTTGTATCATGGTGGGGGGCGGTTATTAATCTATCAGTGTTTTTTGGTCATCTTTGGAACCAGTGTGGAAGGATTATTTTAACTGTGAAAGAGCAGATTATTTTTGTGGAATATTTTCTTTTCATAAAATAATGCATCCTCTGGTGTTACACATAAACTTTTTTCCCAAAGAAATGAAGCTTTAGTTAACCTTGAAGCAATTAATAGTCCACCAGCTCATTTGGGGCCTTTGGGGTCAAGTGAAATATTTGTAACTGTACCAAATCTGTATTTTCAGAAACCAGTGTCCTGGAAATGACCTGGTTGTCCAGATTGACATGCTAAACCCAGTGACAGTTGAAGACAAATTCATCACTTGACAAACTTAGGACTATAACATTTCTGGTCCTGTGTGGCCTTCCATATAGCTGAGATCATGTTTGTTCTGTCTTCTACATGACTTCCCATCAGATGGCTGAAGATTGCTATCATGTACCTACCAAGAAGGAAGACCTCGGTTCTGCATTAGGGAATAGGAGGAAGCGTTTCATGGATAAGATCATGCTTCCACTTTGATAAATATTAGTAGCTACTACTACCACAGAGACTCCAAGGGAATTCCAAACAAAGAAGTTGGAAATAGGCTCAGCATTAAGGAAATTGTAGGTAGCTTGATATAGGAAGAAGGGAAGAGAAGTCTCAAGAAATAAGGTGGAGACGTCTATGGCATGTAAATGATCTTCTGTTTCATTTTGAGGAGATTAGACTTGATCCCGTAGACGTTCTCAGCCAGGGTTTCCTGGGAGAATTAAGCCATAATGCCTGCCAGCGGGCACTGTTGCTGGTGGATTCACTTCCTCCTGTGCTTCAGCAATGGTAGATTTGTGTGCCATTAAAGAGAACATGGAGAAAATAATCAGATCATTTTTTATGTTCTATGGTTCAGATGATAAAACCTGCTTGGGAAAGGTAGAAATTTGATAAACTTATTTTTTAAATGAAGATTTTTATGTAAGAGAATAAGGAAGTGAGATCTTCATTTTAGAACAGTTGTTGCAGAATAGAGGAGTATGGATCCAAAGTCAGGAAGGCCAGGGAAGCAATAATGAGCTGTAAAAGAAAATAAAGGCTGAACAGGAATAGCCATGATAAGATGAAGGAGGAAAGACGAACAGGAGCTAGAGAAATGGTTACGGAGGTTTAAGGTCTCAAGCCTTAAGGGATATTCAGTGCTACCCTCGCATCCTACTGCTTTCCCTAATCAATTCCTTCTCTTCCCAGAGCGGTTCTCAGCCAACCCTCCCTCATCCTCACCTGATTGGATCTTTCCCTTTCTCAAACATTTCCTCAACTTGACTCCCCTTCCTATACTTTCCTACTCTTCTACTGAATTCACTGGTCTCCCCTTGGCAATTTTCATGCCGGAACTTTTTTTTTCCCCCCTCAGCCTCTGCTGGCTTTATTGGCTTGCCCCAAAGCCCAGTCCTTGAACCTCTTTTCTGTTTTTACACTTCTTCAGGTATTCTCATCCACTTTCTTAGCATCATATACAAGTTAAACACAGTTATTCACTGTGTGTGTGTGTGTGTGTGTGTGTGTGTGTGTGTGTGTATCTCCAACCTCTTCACTGGACTCTACGTTTGGTTGTTCGGGTGCCTGTACTACACTGCCAACTGATTCTCTGCTAAGCAAATCAAAGGGAGCTTGTCTAGAGACAGGCTCTTTGTCTCCCTCCTGTATAAATTTGTTCCTGTTGATCCCCATCTTAATAAATGGCAATACCTTTTACTGAGCTCCTCAGGCTACAAGGCAAGTTACCCTTGACCCTGTCTCGTTCCACATCTAGTTTGTCAGCAAATTCTCTTGACTCTGTATTGAGTACAGATTCTGGAAACGAACCACTTTCAGCCACCTTCTTCACTACTTACCTTAGTTTAAATATTCCTGATCTCTTTCCTAGATGACTACAGTTACTTCTTAACTCAGAATTCTGTCCTCTTTCCTGACCCCGGTAGCTTGTTAAATCCATATCCACCAGGGTTGAGACTTTTAAACCAAAAGTCAGATTATGTACTCTTCTGCTTAAAACCTCTCCTACTCATTACGCATAGAATAAAACTCCTGTTTCTTACCAGGTCCTACACGGCCTTATGTGATCTATCTACTAGCTTCCTTTGTGACCTCATTTCTGTCAGCCTTCTATTCACATAGTCTGTTGTCACCAACCTGGCCTCTCTGTAGTTCCTCAGACATGCTCCCTAAGTCCCCCTCAGGATCTATAGAAGACTCTTTTGTTAGAGGCACTGTCTGGTCTCTGTTCAAAATAGTCTGAGTGAGGCCTTCTCTGATCATTCTGTCTTAAATAGGCCTTCTTCTGCCCCCAGGAGCTAATTATATGCTCGTTCTGCTTGTTTTCATCCTAGTATTTACTTAGAATTATGTTAAACATCCACTTCTATTTTCATAGTTTGTCTTCCCTCAGAATATAGGTTCACAAGACTTTGTTTTACCCACATCTCCTAGGTATTCAATAGGTATTTGTTACTGAAATGATTATGATTTCAGGTTTTTACTCACTTTTGAGTTTGAGATACATAGGGAATACTGGAGACAGAGATACAGATGTAATCTCTGGAGGGGGTTTTGACTTTGCAATCTGGTTTTGGAAGTGCTTAGGATATGTGATGGTAGGTAGTTAAGATCATCCCCTGAGGTCAGGTAGTAGGAAGGAGACCTCCTGAGACAGAGCTCTGAGAACCCATGCATTTCGGTTGCCAGAGGAAGAACATTTGAATACTGACCCACCATCCTGTTTACTTACCTCTCTAAGACTTTTTAAGGAGGTAGGGCACACTTAGCATTTTTTTTTTCAGATAAACCAAAAGTGGGTGGTAGATTGAACAGAATGAATAGGTAATGGCTCATGAGTGTCTAGCATGCCAGGCCGAAGTCATTGAACTAAAGTTTAACAAGGACAAATGTCAATTTCTGTAGTCGAAACAATAAGTATGTTGTTATAGTTATCCCAGGTTTAAAAACAAAAGCCTTGGGGATTTTCTTTGACAGAGCAAACTGTGATTAGGATCCTGAAATAGCAAGTGCAGGTTTAGACTAACGTAATAGACACGTTGTCTTCATCTTGGGCAGTGGACATTCTTTGGCCTATGAAGTAGGGAGATCACATCTGGGTACCACATTTTTTAAAAAGACTTAATCTAGAATCTAGACTGTAGATTAGATCCAAGATGTTAGACGATGTGGAAATTGTAATTAATATGTGAGTAATAGCTGAAACTTGTGTTTCTCTTGGAGAAGAAAAAGTGAGAGGATGTATGATGGCTATTGCCAGACCAAATACGTGAAGATAGATTTTTTTTCCTTCTAAGGGGTAGAAATAAGATGAAGGGGGATTAAAGCAAGATCTTATTAACTGTGGGAAAGAGAATGTTAGGATGGACCTGAAATCTGGGAAACAGTTGGTGAGAACAAAGAAATTGGTTCAGGAAGTCGCAGGAAAAGCGAGCAGTTAGAAATGAAAGACAGAAAACCGTAAAGACTCCTCCATCCTGTGTAGGCTGAAGTGGCAGGCGTCTTTTCTCTGAATGGGAATCTCACCGCCGAAGAGCAGGGCAGAACTAGAGGCCCCTGGAGGTTAAGGTACTAGGCTTGGGGCCCAAGCAGGGAGTGGTGCATCAGAAGCAATTAGGAACTCAGTTACTGGAACTGTAGGAAAGGATCGGACCTGAACCCATAGGAGAATTGACTTGAAACTGACCAGCTAGCCGAACTAGCATCAGGATTCGTTGCAGGGAAGGAGTGTATGTGCTGAAGGGGGCGTCAGAGAAATACTGGGGTAGTGACGAAGGCAGATTTTAAAGAGCTAGGTTTTGACTACACATACGATTTTACTAGCAGCCTGACTGCCCAGTGGGAGAATGACCTTCCTCTGGAAATTGAACGTCACTAGAGATACCCAAGCAGAAGCTAGAGGGATGCCCTCACTTACAGTACTAGAAGGAATTTCTGCTCTGACTTGGTGGGTATAATTCATGAGTTTCCTATTCCCAGAACTTGTGTTTCAGTAAGTTGTAACGTATGCATTGTTGGATTTGCTTGTGTTTTGAAAGTTGGGGAAAAGATAATGTGTCTTTTATTATATTTTAGGTGGCTGAATATACTGTCCTAGAAGGAAAACTTCAAAAAACCCTAATTGACTTAGAGAAACGAGAGCAGCAGCTGATCATTGCAGAGTCAGAGGTAACTGTATGTCTTTATTTCCTGGAATCCATGCATGAGGTACATGCTATTATAAAATATATTTCATAAAAAGCCTTTCATGGAAATTTTCTTGTAGGCATGGTGGAAAAAACTGCTGTTCAGCAGAGGAAAGCATCTTTGACATGTCAGAATGTGAGGAATACATAGCAAAGTGTTTGTTATTTGAAATGGTTAATAGCCGGCCAGCCAGCTTTGGCTGACTGCTGCACTCTGCGGAAGTACACTTCTTCCCCGGGACGTGGAGGGACTGGATAGTCACACTGCCCAGAGCATAGAGAAAACGTAGCACAGGCTGAGGGGCCTAGAATTCGGATGTCATTCTCAGTAACAAGGGAATATCCCACCTGGTTGTCGATTAAAGGTTAGAGCCCAAAGATGGATGAAAACTTCTGTTAATACTATGCCTAGTTAGCATTTTTGTTAGGTCTTGATAAATTTTAGCCTAAATATTTATTTCAATTACTACATAAATCATTTCAAAGTATTAGAATTTCTTCCACATTAAATTTGTATGCTCCTGTCCTAACCAAATGAGTTTCTTAAAATTTTTCTCAGCATTTCACTCTGACCTGATCCTCCTACATTTTCTGGAATTTCTCAGTTGATGTTTGACCTTAAATGTATTTGTTTCCAATATGAAGGGTCTGTTACTTTCTATGTGATTAGGCAGAATAGAAGAAATTCCTAAAGAAGAAAAGGAACTTGGGTATATTTGCTTAGGTAATATAGTGGGTTTTACTCAAAAAGGAATTTTAAGTGATTAGGGCCTTTACAATTGAATTTATATAAGTCATATGTGGAGTTTTGGATACACTTTGTATTTTAGAATTAAATGATGATGGATTAGCAATGTGGGTTGAAGCCCTGTGTGCTATCAGCACAGAGCCCACTTGGGGTTCTCTCTTTCCCTCTCTATCTGCCCCTCCCCTGCTCACACACTCGTGCACTCTCAAGAGTAAATAAATATATTAAAAAAATTTTTTTTAATGTATAATTTCAATTGTGCTTCAACATGAAGTCGAACAATGGAAAAGGATATGAAAATAAAATTGTAAATATTGTAAACATTTGTGTAGAAGGATAATAGAATATTGAACAGCATACTGTAGCTGAGCCTTTAAGCCAGCCTCATAAAGATGCACTTGTTTTTAGGTTCAAAGAGAAAGGAAGGAACTGAAATCAGAACGTGACCGGAACCTGCAAGAACTTCAGGACTCCATCCGAAGGGCCAGAGAAGATTGTGTTCACCAAGTAGAACTAGAAAGGTTAAAGATCAAGCAGCTAGAAGAGGACAAACATCGACTGCAGCAGCAGGTGGGATCAAATAGTTGTCATCACTTAGAGTTTATTTGTTTTGTAGGAAGAGTTCACTGAAAAGTTAGAGAAATTCACAGTGGTTTGAACTGTTGATGATGTTGATTGCACCAAGATGCCGATATACTTTAAGCTGGCTCTTGTTTTCCTAAATCAAAGCTAAAGACTACCTTGGAATAATTTTCCTTCCCTTGTCACTATTGGCACAAGATTGAACTATATTTCAGGTAACTCAACATCTTTCTTTCTGATAAATCGCCTTTTGGCCAACATCTTGTGCATGTGTCACTGGACCAAATTCAGTTAAGAACGCCGGTTCGTGAGTGCATCTGCACTCCTCACCTTACTCTCACCTTTCGGCCCTTCCCACCCCACACCCCATCCCCTTGGCTCCAGCCCCTTGTCAGCGAAGCCACCAGTGGCTCATCACTTAGACTCCCCCTCTTAATCAGACAGCTCCAACACTGTTGGACTTCTGTTGTGTATTCTCTTCTTTCCCCTTCTTTAACCCCACTCTCCTGGTCTTCCTCTACTTTCTGGCCACCTCTCAGGCTCCTTTTCCTAACCCTCCAGTATTGGACTTCCTCCAGGCCCAGGACTTACTTTGTACTAAACAATTGTGTTGCTGCCCATGGCTTCAGAGAGAGTCCCCTTTCTACGTATGTCCCAGACTGACTGTCTCTTTGATCATTCTATCAGTGAAAGGTGATGAAGATAAGTGTCTGTATTTCAAAATATAAAAGCAGTTTCCAGAACTCAAACAATCTGTGTCACTTATGGACATTAAGCAAAAGAAAAAGCCCAGTGTGCCGCATAGCTTACTTCTGCACAACCTGATTTTAGGCACAGTAATTGTTTATGATAATGTCTCTGGGACACCTGGGTGGCTCAGTCGGTTAAGATCCAACTTCAGCTCAGGTCATGATCTCATGGTTCATGGGTTCAAGCCCTGCTTCGGGCTCTGTGTTGCCAGCTCAGAGCCTTGAGCCTGCTTTGGATTCTTTGTCTTCCTCTCACTCTGTCCTCCCCCGCTCACACTATGTCTCTCTCTGTCTCAAAAATAATAATAATAATAAAATAAAAATGTATGGTAATGTTTCTGAATGGTAGAAAAAATACCAAATTTTAAGTCTGTTAGCTTTTGTTTAAAACAGAAATAAATGAGAGAGAGAGATGCTTGAGAAAGGTTTTTTTCCAAATTGAAAAGTCAAAGTTTGGATATTCAAAGAAGTAAACTTCAGCCATAGGAAGACTTTGCAGGTAATAGAGTACCTCATTACCTGAAGATGCTAGATAAACTAAACCCTAATTAGAATTATTTGTGCTTACTGGCATGAAACAAGAATTGATTATTGATAATTTAAATTCCATTTTTGCCACCAATTTTCTCAGCATTTCAAATTTAGTTAAGTCTTATGTCTTAGAAAGTAGATAAATGGGTTTATCTAATGATTGCTATCATCTTTAACAGATTTTTTAAAAAAAAAATTCCAGATTTGAAAAGAACATTCTTATATTCTGTTTGGTTTTTTGTTTTGTTTTGGTAGTTTTGAAAGTGTTCTAAGGGAAATTATATTTGCTCAATTTTAGAGCATCTAAAATTGAGCAAAAATGTTCTCATGATCCTGGTTTTCTAACACATTTCCCACTCTTAAATAAAAGTTTTGTATATTGTTAATTAGTTGACTCACTAAATTTTTAAGATTACTAGAAATCTTAATTTTCCTCATTATGCTTTATGGATTTTCTAAATTTTCTACTATAAACAAGCTTTACAATAAGAAAAAAAATGACTGTTGAATTCTATAGCATTGAACTTTGCATACTGGTCTTTTTAAATGGCTGTCATCCTTTTTTTTTTTTTTTTTTTTTTTTTTTTTTTTTTAATACAGCTTAATGATGCTGAAAATAAGTATAAGACTTTGGAAAAAGAGTTCCATCAGTTCAAGGATCAGCAAAGCAACAAACCAGAAATCCGCCTTCAGTCTGAAATAAATCTACTCACCTTGGAAAAGGTACCCGTGTCAGTTTATGGCAATTTAATTCTGATAATTTATAAAATCAGTAGGTGCTATTTGAATATAAAATGTACTGACATTTCACTGTAGTATTCTGATATCAAATAAGAACAGCATTTGAGACACATGACATTGTCAGTACTTGAATTTCTTGGCTTCTATCAGTTACAGCATATACTAATTAGAGTGGTTGGTTGCACAAAACAGAAGTGACTAACTGTAGAAATAAAGGAATCCACAGAACTCTCAGGAAGGCTAAAGAACAACTTCCAAAATATGTACAAGAACAGGGGGAAGCACAGCATGGCCTATCCTGTCCCAAAACTGTCTCCTCTTGCTATTGTTGGTGCTTTCACTGCCTTATCACCTGATTTCCATATTCAGCAGCCAGTCTTGCCATCATGAATGCTGACTGCATATTACTTACTACCCTGTAGATTCCGTGCCCCAGGTAGGAGCATTCGTATCAATCACAAGACTACGCTCTCCTCTGAGCCCAGAGAAGGGATATCCATCCTATTTTGTTTCTTGCGGTTGGAGGCCAGGTCCTGCCTCTAGTTATATAGTGATCCTCTGCAAACGGGAAGAATGTTCTGCTTCTAGGCATTAAAAACTGTGTACTGTCCAAAATGTGTAATGTTAAGTTTGACAGTATGTGCTGTTGCATTTTATCGTTTAGTATTTTTTAGGTATTATTAAAAAGATACAGCCTACCCAAGAAATCACACAGGTAATAAGAGAATAATTTTCAGAAGTTACAGGATTTCATGGTGTCAGCCATGGCCTGTCATTGTCCACTGAACATTCTATTGAAGGCTTCCTTGCCTCTTTTCCGCTGCAGATGTAGCCACTAGGGGGCACTATCAGAAGATCGGTAGGGGGTGTCAGGAAGTTGCCAGGGTAGTTTGTTCTTCTCTTTGTCTGTGTGCTTCCCTTCTCTCATAGTAGGTGCACCTTTTTATGGTTTCCTCTCTGGCTAGACACCTTCTCTCCAGCTTGCCTTGGGCTGTCCCTACTGCATGAACAATCCGTGTTTCTGCGTTCCTAGTAGGAAGAACTGTTACCCATGGTACTTGCTTTTGTAGTCCCTCCTACCCCGGAGACGTAGGGCCTGGCTGCTCCTGCTTATCACTGGTTGCCTCATCCTATCCTCTCTAGCATTTGTGCTTTCCTGTTACCTGTATAACCAGTTTCCTGGCAGGATGCTAAATGACAGAACTGGTTTTTCATTATCCAGCAAAGATGCATCCTCCTGGGCACTGTGCTAAATGCTGTGCTGAATGATTTAAAAACCTTCAAGAGAGAGTCAAATAAATGACGAGTCCTACAAAGAGGCAGGGAACTTACCCAGATAATTAAAGTGAAAGGCAGGTAATAGCTTACCATACTATCTAACTCTCTCTTACTAAATGCCGTGAACTCAAAGGGGAGACAAAGCTACTTCTGAAATCAACACATGAGGTAAACTAAGAAGGGAGACTAGATATAGAATCTAAAGGGCACATTAATAAGTGAATGTGTGTGGGAGAGTATTCCAAGAAGTATTCAAGAGAACTAGAGGGGTTAGAAAGCCTATTGCATATTCGGGTAATAGCTTGACTAGAACTTGGGAGTTTAACTATTGTGGTAGTTGTTCGAAAATAACAGGGCTGATAAGAGAATGCTAGAAATTAAGATAATTTGTGGCCATATGTGGGGAAGACCTTAGATGCGAAGTTAAAGAATTTGTATTTCATCTGGTAAGAAAAGGCAGAGATTACTCTCAAGTGTATTACATTGGCTTAATGGATGTTAATAGGAGTGAAGAATTTTCAGGAAGAACTTTTTGAGGAGGTTGAAAGTTGTAGAGAATTATGGTTCTAGGCAGGTTCCATCTGAGATTCTAGCAGAAAAAGTTGAAGCGGAGCAGTTCACCGAGGGGTTGAAAATGGGTATGGGACGCCTGGCTGCTTCAGTCGGTTAAGTGGCTGACTCTTTCGATTTCACCTCAGGTCATGATCCCACAGTTCATTAGTTTGAGCCCTGCGTCACGCTCTGTGCTGACAGCTCGGAGCTTCTTGGGATTCTCTCCCGGACTCTCTCTTTCCCTCTCTCTCTCAAAATTAAATACATAGTTTTTTAACAAATAGGCAAGTATAGTAGGAAGAGAGAAAAGGAGGTAGAGATAAAGATTTGGAATCACTGGAATAAACTAACCGCCTTGGATTTAGATGAAATGGTCTAAGGTGTCTTTAGGAAGGACACCCAGACAAGTTGGTGGGAACTACGGCCTCAGGTACAAAAATCAAGAGTCAGAGAAGGAGGCTAAAAAGATCCAGAGACATAGTGAAGACAGTCTAGTGCAGTGCTAAGAGGAGGGATTTGGAGAATAAGGAAATAGAAGTCATCTCTTATGACAGCCAAGTCAAGAATGGTTGAAGAAGGGCCTTATGTTTTGCAGGTAAGAGATTTTGAAGAAGCAAAACTGCAGAGGGTTATAAAAGTTTGGCATTGAAAAAAAACCAGGAAAATATGTAACCCGGGGGCTTCATGTTATTAAAACCTTACATGGTCGGTGGAAAATCTACGAACATATACATATACAGAGATATTTTTTGAGTGAGCCAGAGAGGGGCAGAGGTAGCAGGCCCAAGGCCGAGCCCCATGTGGGGCTTGATCCCACCACCCTGGGATCACGACCTCTAGTCAAAGAGTTGGACTCTCACCTAACTGAGCCTCCCAGGTGCCCCTGAATATTTTTAGATTGAGGATAAGCAATTAATAGCAAGAAGAAATTGAGCTTTGAGAGAGGAGGGGATGAGTGGACCAAAGAAGAGTCAGTCTTAGGAAGTAGAAACGCTATTTAAGAGGCAGAAAGGGTGAATAATATGTAGAAAAGCTGGCGACAAGAAAGGGTGTGGTAAAATAAGTTTTTGAGGGGTTGAAGCAGGTATTAACCAGTTTGTTCTGCTTCTGAACTCACTGACTTGCTGCAGCCTGTCCATTGCCACGCTATCTCTGGTTCCTCTTCTTACCCCTACGTGCACTTAACTGCCAAGCCTTGTTGATTCTGCTTCTTACATACCTGGAAAATCTTTTCGTTTCTCCATTTGATTCTTGGGCCTTTTGAATTTCTCTATCAGTGAACTTGAATCCAGTTGGACATTTTTAACCCCTCTTAAAAAAAAAAAAAGGGGGTGCCCGGGTGGCTCAGTTGGCTGAGCATCCGACTTCGGCTCAGGTCATGATCTCACAGTTCGTGAGTTCGAGCCCCGCATCAGGCTCTGTGCTGACAGCTCGGAGCCTGGAGCCTGCTTCCGATTCTGTGTCTCCCTCTCTCTCTGCCCCTCCCCTGCTCATGCTCTGTCTCTCTCTCTGTCAAAAATAAAAAAATTAAAAAAAAAAATTTATTTTACCTATTTGGAGAGAGAGAGGCTCTCCCAAGCAGTCTCTGCAGTGTCAGCACCAAGCCCAACGTGGGGCTCAAACCCACGAACCTCGAGACTGTGACCTGAGCCGAAGTCGAGTCGGTCGCCCAACTGGCTGAGCCACCCAGGTGCCCCATAACCCCTCTTTTGATTAAAAACAAGTATTCCACTATTTCCCTGTTTACAACTGTGAATTCTCTGGTACCTACCAAAGATAGCTAAAGTGCACAGACACTAAGCGTCAAAGAGTGTTTTTATTTTACCTTCAGAGACCACATATCTCACAATTAGAACCTTATCTTTTGTGAATAGAAAGTTGGTAACTAGCTGCCATAGAAAGACATTTTACATGATTTCTTTAAATCCCGTTTTCCAACTATACTTCTACTAAAAGGATAAAAATCCCTCAACGTATCAAAAATGTAAACAGTGCCATGAACTTGTGAAGGGCAAGGGGAAAAAAATGAATAATTAAACTGCCTCTGTTTGAGACCCAAGGAACTCATCCAGCATGTTTAAGTGTTGAGTAAAACACAGCTTCTCAGCTCTGGTGAAAATTCTTGGTAAATTTTGTTTGGAGCCAGAAGAGGGCAGAATCTTATTTCTTATTGCTAAGTAATAACAAAGACATAAATGCACAAAAAGAAAGACATAAGTGAAAAAGTATCTTATTCATTGTATAACTGGTTATGTGAAATAGAGAGCATTTGCTGATTACCTATTCTCTTCAGTTTAACAGAAATACTTCAATTTTCACTAAAATGGTGTAAAATAAGATACAGTTTTACCAGATGTAATTCTTCATTCCTTTTATTAAAAAGTCAAGAATAGTTTATGATTTGCTTTTAACTAGGAGTGTCTCTTAGATGGCTTAAAAATAATTAGGTTTTTAAATAAATGAAATATGGAAAACATTAATATAGTAGGGCAGACTGAAGTTGAAGATAAATGCCAAAATGTATGTATTTATGATTATTTGGTAGCTACCATGCGTCCACCCCTGTCTTAAGGCAAAGGGAAAGATGAGAGAAAAAAGAGGAGAAAAAGTACACGATCCTTCCGGGACCTCACTTTTAAAGAGTTTGTAATAAAATTGGAGAGATGCCTCAAGGAGCCTGAAGTGACTGTGTGTGATCAAGTACCATGGAATGTGATAGAAACTCTTTGCAAGGGGCGCCTGGGTGGCGCAGTCGGTTAAGCATCCGACTTCAGCCAGGTCACGATCTCATGGTCCGTGAGTTCGAGCCCCGCGTCAGGCTCTGGGCTGATGGCTCGGAGCCTGGAGCCTGTTTCCGATTCTGTGTCTCCCTGTCTCTCTGCCCCTCCCCCGTTCATGCTCTGTCTCTGTCTGTCCCATAAATAAATAAAAACGTTGAAAAAAAAAATTAAAAAAAAAAAAAAAGAAACTCTTTGCAGTTGAGAAAATAGTAGTTTTAAGTAAGCAGAGAAGAAAGTGACAGGCGTAGGAAGTTAATTGGGTGATGGGGGGTGAACCAGGACACCAACCTACGGGCTGGAGTAGAGGGTTTTTTGTTGAGGAACACCAAGGAAATAGGTGCAGCAAGTAGGACAGAAGTTCGATTCTGGAACACCTTAAAACAGGCAGAGGAGTGTAGGTTCAAGCCTGCAGGCAAGTAGCAGCAGCATCTTTGAGAGTAAATTGACCTGACAGTGGTTTGCGGGATTTGGAGACAGAAAAGTGTGGAGGCTGAGGAGACTGGAGAAGATATGAACGTGGCCTAAGGAAAGGGCAGGAGCAACATGGAAGAATAAAACGGCCAAGTTCTGCCAGGGAGAAGTCTCTGTAGTTCCTTGTGACAGTGGGGAATAGGGCATCAGAGACAAAGACCGTGCCATCCACTGAGCAGAGAATGAGGCTTGTGGGCCTAGAAACAGGGAGGCAGAGAACGAGTGAACACGGGTTTGTGCTTTCTGCGTGCACTGGCCTCTGAATGGACTCTGGGTCCTGAGGTGAGTTTTCACATGAGAAATCTGTAACTTGGTTCATGAGGTAAGTGAAAAGCTTGCCCAAGCCTTAGATCTACTCAAGAGGAGAGGTTTCAACTCAAGGTCTTTGAATGCCCTGGAGTTCTCTCAAATCTTTAGTCGTGTGCATGTTTCTGGGAACTGGGTCCCCTGTGTTTCCTTAGAATCACAGAGGCACTTGTATTCTTAAAAAAAAAAAAAAAAAAGAAGAAAGGTTAGGAATCACTGATTAGGTCATAGGAATGCATTAGAAAAGTGGGGTTTGAATCTGAAATTTGCAAACTACGTGTTTTTTTTAATTTAACTGTGAATATGCAAATGTGATTTTGATAATCCTGGCAAAACTGATAAAACCTATCCAGCCTTTTCTATTGAGTCAGTCCATGGGATATACTTGATCCCTCTGGGGTTATCCCTTCCTAACCCTCATCCTTGGGCCAGTCTAGGCTACCAGACCTCCTCCAAGACCCAGGGACATGATCACTTTTATAATTAAATACTACCTTTTTATCCCAGCAATATAAAACGATTTTTGCTATTCCTCTGACTTATGCCCTACTGTTAAATTACCAAGTAATATGTATAAATCTTTGGGGCACAAGTAGAAGAGGTCACCTTTGATAATCTCAGAGTATTTATTCAACTTAAGACATGGAAGTCTAGTTGTGAAATGTCAACACCTTTAAATTCAAGCACCAGGGATTTATAAAGCAGAAAAGACCGTGACTCCATGAGTTCATATATTACTGCAGAGAATATTCTGGTCTTTTGTGAAGGGAATTTGGCAATCTGCTTTTCCTTTCCTTTTGTTTTCATACACGTTTTCTGAAGTTTGAATTTTGGGACTGTGCCTTTGGTTTGATGTTCCTGCAAAACATGAAGAGTTGTGTGTATGGGAAAAACTAGACTTGATATAAAAAACTTAGACCAGTTTAGAGTCACAGTATTGTGCTGTAATTCAGGCAGATTATTACATTATCACTTAAATAGTAAAACTGTCTGTTGGCTTCATGAATTTGTTTGGTATTTGGTTTGAAACACTGAGAACGTACATTCCAGAACATCGCCAAGTTGGCTTCGGTTCATGCACAACAGATTGCCTGCTGCAAGTATAAATAACCATTTTTTTAATGGAATCACTTTCATGTTTTTCTTTATATGTTTGAGGAAAAATAGAAAATCAAAGTTAGTGTTATGAGGAGCATTATTTTTCCTACTCTCAGGTTTATTTTAACATTCTTAAAATATTTTCCCCTTTGTCCTCTTTCTCAGTAAACTGCTTTCTGATAAAAGATCTCCCTGCTCTCAGCACTCTCCGAGTTTTGCGGCAATAGAGTTATAAGAGTATCTCTACTAGCTCTCGGGGTTGTAAGACCAAGTTCCATCTCACGATAGGCCCCCAGAAGGAAGAACTAGGTTTCTGAGATGTCGAGTGCCAGCTAAATTGGAATGCTAACAGTAAGGACTGCTTTTTGTAAAAAATGAATGTTTTGCACTCTATACACGTTTTAATACATTTATAGTAACTGTCTGGAGGTTAAGACTGATTCCGTTCCTTTCAGTATAGGCTGTTAGGCAGTAAAAATACGACTATATTTTAAACAAGAAAATGTTCATGTGCCATAATATTTATAGTAAATTATATAACAGTTTTAGATGATGTCGTATGTTACACTGTATAAACTCTTTTCTTAAGCCAGACTCTTTGTATATATTATCTTTCAGTGATTGTACACAGTGGTATAGTGTTTCACTTGATACGATTTTAATCACTGTTAGGTTGAACTTGAAAGGAAGTTGGAATCTGCAACTAAGTCTAAACTACATTACAAGCAGCAGTGGGGACGAGCTTTGAAAGAACTTGCCAGACTTAAACAGGTATGTAGTTTATAGCTGATGATGGATTCTTCTTTTTATGTCTTTTTCCCCTTGATTCTTTAAAAGTTTGCCTATTTGGCAATAGCTATTACGTTCATATGTGGACATTTGGATCTGCAGGGCTATTTTCGAGATTATTAAAAGATTGTTTTCTTAATAAAAAAAATTAACTCCTAGGTCCTTTTTTTTTTTTTTTTTTTTTTTTTTTTTTTTTTTTTTTTTTTTTTTTTTTTTTTTTTCAAATTGGCAACTGTTGTCCTCCCCAGAAGAAATTAGGAATGATTTCTTTCACTTTCACTTATAAAACAGCCATTTTTTTTTGTCTTAGTAATAATTTCTTTCCATTGAAAGTAACTTTCAGAAGAGAAATTTCAGAATAACTGAAAAAATTTAACATGTCCTCCAGCTGAACAGCTGATTTCAAATGTTAGTCCTAGAAGACCTAGTCATTTATTCAGTTAAGAAAAGGAATCACAATTTCTGCACAATTTTACAAGAATTTAAAAGTGATAGTGGTTTCCTGAACTCTTCTTAGACTTCTTTTTTCTTCTTCTTCCTACTACTAAATAACAAATGCCATAAGCCTCAGGAGAAATTAATCTTATTTTGCAGTGAAATTTGCTCAAATGATTAAGATCAATTAAATGTGAGCAAGGTTTTTCTTTAGAATCTAATCTACTTGACCTAACCCTTCAAACTTTTGCCTTTCTTTAATCAGTTTATTCGGAGTGAAATTGGGCACATAGGTTTTTCATAATTGTATTTTTTTCTCCCTCTCCATGACCAGCGAATGCTATTAAACATCTCTGTGGTATTGTACTAAACACCTACTGCTCTCAAAGAGAGGTATGTACAAGACCTCAGGAGAATAAACAGTACAGTTTGCCTTAATGTAGCTTGTCGAAGAGTTGAGATTGTAAGCATAACAGAATATTACACGAAGTGAAAGTATTTTATAAATGTTCACAGGATCAAGGACAGATGCGTGTACTGAGGGCCTCCTGTATTCACAGTATTGCCCTAGATTTATTGGTGTATGTAAAACTTAAGTCTTTCCCTCAGAGAGCTTGCAATTTATTAAGAGGGAAGAAAATTATAAATGTAACATTTATATTTAAGAGTGAGAGCCGTGACAAGAACCATCCTGAGGAGGCAGGAGGGGAGAGTACATCTATTTAATAGCACTTAAGTAGGACACTGTGGAAGAGGAGTATTTGAGATAGACCTCTGGTGAGCTGGTTGTGATTTAAGAAAGCAGGGAGGGAAATGCTATAAATGTAACCAACAAAATGAGTATAGCAAACATGCAGGAAGGTGGAAAGCAGAGACTCTACTTGGACAAGAGAGGAGGGTCAATTTTAGAGGTAGTTTCAGGTAACCAGGACTGGAACTTAAGTGGGAACGTGACACACAGATTCCTGGGGAAGAAACCCCCAAAACATGGTTTTGGTAGATTGATATAGCCCCGTTTTTACCTGATTGTAATGCAAAGTAGAAAGTTGAAGATGATGCCAAAGGCTGAAGCCTCAGTGTCTGCAAAGCAAGTTTTCCAGTATGGAAATAACGGTAGTAATACAAGGAGGAGAAAGGACTTGCAAATGTGGACATCTTGACTTTCGCCAAAAGAAATTCAGCAAGCATTCATAAATATGCAGCTGGTATTGGGAGGATGATTGGGCTTCTTGCAGATGTGAGAATGTAAGCTGTGGTAGATAAAACTGAGCATTCTTAGGTTTGCAGAGGAGGCCTGAGAGCTGATGATGGAACCAATGGGCGGAGAGCAAGAGGGCGGTCATGATTTCAGGCCCCTCACACCTTGACATTTCATCCTAACCAAGATCGCAGTAGAGCTGGTAACTGAATTTCGATTTTCTAGATGAAAGAAACGGAGACTTAGGGAAGTTAAGGAAGGTGCACCAGATCGCACAGGTCACGAGTGAGAGAGCAAGGATTGGAGCCACTGGACTGGGGTCCCGGCTCTTTCCCCTTTATGCTGGTATCAGGTTATTCCATGGAAGCCAAATAATGAAAGGATTTCGAGGAGAAGAAAGTGAGCCCTGGAAGGTTTTAGGGATTTCTGACACAGTATCCAGGCACAAGTCATGGTTTGGCACACCCCAGCAAGGAAAATGGCATCAGTGACTGTTAGACCAGCTCTCATAATGAGAATTGAAGTGACCTCGAGCGAGAAGAAGCTCCAGTCAGGATGCCAAAGTACGGAGAGGAGATGGGGAAGAAGTGGAAAATGGTGCCTGCCATTAAAGAAGTTACACAGTGAAGGCTCAGAGACTAAGGGAATGAATCATGGGGCATTACCAGAACCAGTAATGAAAAGGTGGAAAAGTGTGAGCGTTGAGGAGGGCATTTCCTTTGGAGAGAGGAGTAATCGTTAATGACTGAAATGTCTCCTTCCTGTACCCTTTTGTTACCTTCTGAATCTTCCCATTTCATCCATTCTTTTACATTTACCCCCTTTTGTCCTATGTATTTTCTACCCCCTTGCCTAAAAAGCATGGGCAGATAATTTTGCTGTTTGTTTCTAGTAGGAGAGGCTATCACGAAAGTCAGATGCTTCCCCGTGAGTTACTTTATGTATTAAGAAAACGGCGTTAAATTTAGAATTCAACTCTAAACTATTTCTTCAAGAAAAGAGCCTCATTCTTTGAGTGCAGTAATCTTCCTCGAGACTAATTCTCTTCCTTATCCCACTAACTTTCTGCTTTGGAAACAACACTGTAAACAACCTTTAGGTCACTAGGAATCACTGATCTTCCACAGACGACATTGGAGGTTTGGTACTTGAAGAGCAAATATAAGCCTTTGCCATGACCATCCCAAATTGTGCTCTGCCACTAACTGTTCTTATAGGGTTAAAATTAATAGCTTCATCAAATAGGCACAATTCATATGTGTGAAAGTACCATATTTTTCTAGAACTTTTTATTAAAAACACATTTATTGTGTTTGAATATAAAATTGGAATCCTCTATCTGCTTTTGTTCAGAGGATTGTTTGTGCAACTTCTTGTTTAAATTGGATTAGTACCATGTTAATTTTACATTGCCTCTGGTGAATAGCCACGGGGCTATAATCTCTGCCAGTAATTTGTCACAGCAAAATCCTCTGGAGGGCCATACAAAACATTTGTGTAGTACGGATTAGATGGGGAAAGCCATATCTTAGATTGTTAATAAATGTTAATGACAAAACCCAGCTGGTAAAGCTTGGAAATAAGATCTAATGCTGGGTGCCTATTGCCAAAAGAATGTTTAAACAGATTTCCATTACTCAAAGGTGACCCAGTACAGTCAATTTGTGAATTAAAAAAAAAAAAAAACAAAACATACTCTTCTAATGATTTAGGGAAAAAAAAATCGTCTGATTCCCAAAAGTCTGTGTTTCCAAGCTGTAAATTTGTTGTTGTTGTTCTTTGCTAACTTGGGGAAGTAACAGCTGTAAAAAACAAACAAACAAACAAATAAACATAAATGGGTCCTAACTTAGAAAACAAGGAAATGACATCCAGACATTCTGGATTTGATATCTTTGGTACAATGTGTAGCACAGATCTGAAAGAATTCTGATGGTGAGACATCTAAGGGGAAATTTAGTTGTTTCCGCCCCCCACCCCCAGTCTCCATGAAGATATACTACAGAAATATTTTTAAACCAAAGGTTTCATTGTTTGACAAACACTCAAGATTGTCACTTTAATTTTTTTTCTAAAAAATGTTTGTTTAAAAATATTTCTCATCACCTTAGAAAACAATTGTGTAGGTTGAATAAAAGCTACTCCTTTTGAAAAATAAATCCTTAAGAGGTATGAATTTGTTCGTGTAGAAAATTTAACATTTTCATTATGTGAGATAAATTGAAACTAGGTCCGCTTGTTCCCAAGACAGGAAACAGAACTAAGATTTTGGGTAGGATGTGGGTCCCTTACCATATTTGTGCACAGTAGATCTGTTTAAAACTAAGCTCTGATATATTTAGTTAAAACAACACAGGCTTCATTGGCTGACATCAGCACTATCTTGTCCAGTCTCCTGCTTATCCACTCAGGGTAATTAATTTGATTAATTTATAAGTAATTTAGCCAAGGATGGGATGTAAATCTTTGTTTAAGAAAACAGTTGGAGGTCCAAGTCTTGGTTAAAAACTGTGTCTTGAAACCATCCAGGCCCTCCTACTGACTTGTCAGCTCTGGGTTATTTTCAGAAAACTTGACTTGAGTTCCTTAGTTTAGTTGTAAGTTTTTCCCACAGACTTACATGGTATGTGTGAGCGGGAGAGTAAGTAGTGGCCACTTTTTAGCCGCTGTTTAGTCTAGTGTATGCATGTTTACATCTCCTCTCTGGATTTATAGGCAGCTCAGGCAAAATAAAGATTATACTCACTTGATTGAGGAGTCTTTAACCCAGAGCACCTGGCAGCAGAGAGGATTTCTTTCTGTAACCTCTAATTTTTGTGTGTGCGTGTGTGATCAGTATTAATGCCATATATGTGATGAAAAATTCAAGGCATTTAAAGGCTTGTCTTCTGTGTTTTAGAACTAGGGTGTTTCAAGTCTTATAAAATTACAATTTTACAAAGTAACCTAACCTAATTGGCTTTTATTATTTTTTTCTGCTTGTAATTATGCTTGCTTATTGTAAACAAAGACAAACTTTGCAGCACTGCATAACACAGAAAATAAAAATCACCAGCCAGAGGTAACAACTGGGTCTGTTTTTGCCGAGCTTTCTTTTCCTTTCTTTCTTAATAGTTGCTTTTTAAAAGAAATAGATCCTAACAGTCCAAAGAGGCAAAGAAAAAGAAGATGGTTATGCACCCTACCCGCCCCCCTCCCCCCCCACTTCTATTTTAAGAACCAGAGCACATTATCAGTGTTCTGGAAGCCTTCTGTGCCTTTGCTCAACTGCATCCTCTCCAGAGGTAACTACTTGCCTAAATTTGGTATTTATTCTCCCTTTGCTTTTCTTTACGTTTGTGTGGTTTTA